TTTTTTTCTCTTTTTTTTTCTCCTTTTTTCCTCTTCTTTTCTCCTTTCTTTTTCCTCTCCCTTCCTCCTTTATTTCTCTTCTCCTTTTCTCCTTTTTTTCCTCTCCTTTTCCCCCTTCTTTTCTCCTTTTTCCTTACCTTTTCTCCTTTTTTTCCCCCTCTCTTTTTCTCCTTTTTTCCTCTTCTTTCCTCCTTTTTTCCTCTTTTTTTCTCCTTTTTTTCTCTCTCATTTTCTCCTTTTTTCCCTCTCTTTTTCTCATTTTTTCCCCTCTCCTTTTCTCCTTTTTTCCCCTTTCTTTTTCTCCTTTTTTCCTCTTCCTTTCTCCTTTTTTCCCCGCTTGGATTTGGGGTCCCGGGAGAGGGCCCTGCCAGAGCCTTCCCTGCAGATTCCCCCCTCAGCCGCTCCCCGCTTTGGTTTTCCTTCCTCGGGAGCCTCAGGAGTTCCCGGGACAGGTTTTATCCCCAAATTTATCCCGAAATGGGTTTGCAGGGGGCTCAGCAGGGTCCCATCCCCGCAGCTCCTCCCAGGAAAAGGCGATTCCCGGCGGGATCGCAGCCCTGGAAACCTCGTCCTCCTCCTCCTCCTCCTCCTCCCTCCTTCATCCTGCCACCAGCTGCCCCTCCGGGAGCATCCCAGGGGGATGGAGCTCCTCCCGGCTGCTCCGGGCTTTGCTTTGGTGCTTCCTGTGCCTTCCTCTGCCCTGCCAGGTTGGATTCCAGTGGGACGCGTCCCTGCCCACGCCAGGGGGTGGGAATTAAACGATCTTTAAGGCCCCTTTCCCACCCAAACCCCTCAGGAATTCCGTGACCCCGCACTGGCGGCCGCCACCCCGGGAAAAGGGGGAAAACCCCGTTCCTGGAATTGTCTGCTGAAAAGCTCGAGGATCCGTCCGGGATCTGCCCCAGGGACTCCCGGGCCGTGCTTTTTGTTGTTTCCAGGGCACAGGACGAGCCCCAGGACTCCCGGGCCGTGCTTTTCCCTGTGCCCCGAGGCCTCTTTCACTGTCTCTCTCACCTGATCCTCCCTCCCTGGGAGAGGCTCCTCCTGCTCCCGCTCCCGCTGCCTGGAAAACGCTGAAATACACTCATTTATGGTGGTTTTTTTTAAATTATTTTTTATTTTCTGTCTTCCTCCAGAGCTGGGAAAGGAGTCTTTTCAGCCATGAAGCTCGGCAAGGCGCGCCCGGCGAAGGATGAGCACAGGAAACAGGGTATGGGCATGGAATGATGTGGGATTACACGCTCTGGGTGGGAAGGGACCTTAAATCCCATCTCATCCCACGCCTTCCCCTAGCCCAGGTTGCTCCAAGCCCCGTCCAACCCGGCCTGGGACACTGCAGGGATCATCCAGGGGCAGCCACAGCTTCCCTGGGAATTCCAGCCCAGCCGGGAATCCCTTCCCAATCTCCCCTTTCCCAGTGGGAAGCCATTCCCTGTGTCCTTCCAGGCATTGCAGGCCCTGATCCCAAATCCCTCTCCAGCTCTCCTGGAGCCCCTGCAGGCT